TGGGACTTTAGAGCTGCACAGGCCCACAGCAATCCTGCCACAATCTCCCAGGCTCACCTGAAGAAGGGCAGGCTGTCGTGTACAATGCCTTCATTGGAATGATCATTGGCATTGGTGAAGAGAGGAGACCAGCCTGCTGGAAGTGAGTCTGCTTCCACAGCAAACCCGTGGTTCTGGGATGTCAGAAAGCAGCGTCCAGAGCCCACCAGTAAGCATGGCTGGTTATGGCCTCGGTTACCATATCTGGAGATGGAAGTAGGCTAAGTCACAGGCCAATTCCAACTACCCTTCACTACTATAAACCAAATATAGCTCTTGCTGATCTCACTAGCCACCCCCCCTCCTGTTGCAACACTAATACACACCAACTCTATTTCATTTCCAAGACTCCCCACCCCTCAACTCAAAAGAGCAGGTCCCTTCTTCCCCCCACAAGTCCCACCTCATCTTGTAAGTCTTAGCCCCAATGGCTAAGGCCAACAGCTGGTGTCCCAGGCAGATCCCGAAGACAGGTCGGGGATTAGGCTCAGATAAGACACGGCTCAGTGTGGATACCACATTGGGACAGGAGGCAGGGTCACCGGGGCCATTACTTAGGAAGAGACCCTCATACTCTGGAGTGAGCAGAAGACATGACGTCAAAACCAGTATTTCAACCAGAGATACACTTGCAGCTCTTACCATTAGAGCAGAAACTCTGATCTCCACCTTCTGTCACGTTGACTTTTAGCAACTACACCAAGTTTGTTCATTCTGGTGGAAGACCCTCTACTGTCACAAGCTACTCACCCTGGCTGTCTAATGTGTGATCCCAGGGTACTACAGTGACCTCGGCCCCACGCCGGCAGAGGCATCGGATCTGATTATACTTGAGGCCACAGTCCAAAGCAAGGATCCTAGGGGTACCCCCTGCATTGAATACCCGTGGAGCCTAAGCAACAGGAGCAAAGAGCAAATCAGCAACTGTAAGTAGTGGCTATTACACATTTCCGCCCCAATCCCTACCTCCAAGACCTCTTGATTCTCCCTCCTAATGTTCCTATCAATTATGGGCAGAATGCAACTACTGTAGAATAGATTACACTACTTTTCCACTATACCTTAATGGAGACTTCTGGTACCAGGGCACGGGCATTGGGGTCCAAGAAAGGCAAGGCTGAAGGCTCTGTCCCATTCTGGACCAGCTTCCCCAGCAGAGACCCTTGCTCCCGCAATTTCTTAGTCAGCTCCCGAGTGTCCACCCCTGTCAAAATTAGCACAGCTTCAGAGATCACACTATACATACTCAGTCTTCAAAAGGCTGGACTTCTAGAAGCACTTCCATTGAAGCCAAGACACATACATTTCTATGGAGAGTATATACTGATGGAAGTATGCTACCATGAAGTATCCTGACAAAAATGTATCAGTACTGAACTATAATTCTAGGTCTATCAGTTTACATAACATAAGGCGAAGAGACAAAGGAAATGCTAAATGATACTACAGAAATGTAATTAACAAAATACAGACTAGGGAATATATATTTTGGTTCCTAAATTAGATTTAAGAGATATATCAATCAAATGCAATGTATCGGCCTTGTTCAGATCCAGATTCAAATAAATAATTAGGATAAAAAAGTGATTTGTATAAAATTTTAATACTGCCTAGATAATTGATGATATTAAGGAATTTACTTTAAAAAAAAAAAAAAGGCCCCTTATCTTTCAGAGATGCTGAATTATTTGTGGACAAAATGACATGAAGCCTGAAATTTGCTTCAAAACAATCTGGGGCACTAAAGGGACTGATGGGATGAGTTTAACCATGAGTTAATAATTATGCTATGTTTGAAATCTCCTCCAGACCCAGATCCCAATTTAAACCTTTCAAACCAGCACAATCTATCACAAGCTTGGGCTCAAGTCTCAACAATCTACAGAAACCTTATCTTGATCCTTTCTTTCCAGGCATTCTGCTAGACATACCCATGCTCACCATCATACCTTGCAGACCAGGTATGCCATGTTCCTGAAGCCATTCATGCAGAGTGTAGGCGGCACTCCAGTGGCTGGGTGTGGGACAGCACTCTCCCACCACCAGTCCTGCCACGTGGATTCCCGAGGATTCAAACCACTGTAGATGGAAGGAGCAGATTGTGAAGAGCTAAGGTCAAATCTCCCTATGTCATTTTATCCCCTCACTTTTTTCCTATAACGTGGTCACAGGTCCTCTACAGAATGATATTCACCACCACCAAGTACACAGTCCCTGGTGTGGTGCTGTAAGATACACAATGTACTGCTAACTGCAAGCTCTGCATTTCAAACCCACCAGTCGCTTCTTGGAAGTCCTATACAGGACTGCTCTGAGTAGAAACCAACTCAATGGCATTTAACAACCACCACACCCACCACTTCATAATTCTTTACCAACAATTCTGTTCTCTGCATTAAACACTACATATAGGCTTTGTCACAGAAGCATGAAACCCAAGAAAGATGCCTGACATATAGTATTAGTACAAACATTTACTGAGTATCCACTGGGTGCCAGGCATTATAACAGATACTGAAGACAAAGTAGTAAGCAAGAAAGACAATATCTGTGTCTTTAGGATATTAACTTCCTTCATTATTGTTATTGTTGTTAAGTGTAGACTCATAGCAATCCTGTACAGGGGTTCAGAGATGGGTTTGAACCGCCAACCTTATGGTTCGCAGTCCAATGATTATCCTATAGCACCACATGAGGAGTTTCCATGAACTTTTTTCATAGGAAGCCAGAAATTAACAAATAAATTAATGAGATGATAATTGTTGTGTGCTGTCAAATCAGTTCTGACTCATAGTGATCCCATATGGAGTTTCAGAGGAGTGGCTGGTGGGTTGGAACCACTGATTTTGTGGCTAGCAGTTCAGTGCTTATTCTGTAACACCACACCAGGGCTATAAATGTAGAAAAACAAGGTGCTAAGATAGGTGCTTGATATACCACTAACTAAAAATTAAAAGTTCAAGTTAAAATACTTGAACTGCCATTATGATTATACTGATCCTCCAACTTTAAAGGGATTATTAAGGAAGATGGATGTTGAGCCTGTTCCTTAGGGATCTGAAGGAAAAGAGTTTAGCTGATGAGTAATAAGAATCCTCCCTTAACGGCACTTAACATCTAAGCTAGGAATCCTGGAGTGGCACTGTGGCATAAGTACTAGACTGCTAACTGCAAGGTTGGTGGTTCAAATCCACCAACTGCTTTTTAGAAACCCTATATAGGGTCACTATGAGTTGGAACCTAATCAGCAATACTTAACAACAACATCTAAGCTACGATGAGTTTCATTATTATCCCAATTACTCATTAAAAACTTTTAAAAAAATTACTTGGTTTCCAAATTCCAGAAGAGGAAGAATAGTGGGAACCTTGCTGAATCTCAAGAGAATATGGAATTTCCTTCCCTAGGAGTAAGAACACTACCAAAAATAGAAGATGAGGTATGTAGGAAAGGTATGTCATAAGATCATAAGCAATTTCACCAGTTCACTAGTGACTCCGTCATTGGGAAAGATGTGGCCTTACCTTCCAGTCTCTCTCCCACTAATCTAAGGCATTCTGAAGCACTGCTCCATCATACAACTTGCGAAACCACTTCCAATGGGTTCTTACCAGATTCAGATTAGACTTTAGTTTATCTTCATGCTTATTGTATTTAGACCATCTTCCCACTCCTTGATCCACGTCTTCACTACGAACTCGCAATATTCTCATGTTGCCTAGTGCCTTGCTGCCCCAAACAAAGAAGATAGCTCGCTCTTCCTAGACTTCCAGGATGCCGAGTTTCTCAAAGTGTTTACCAACCCAAGTTTAACTGCAGTCATCTCAATACAGTGTTTCTGTTGATTATCTTTCTCTCATGAACAATTATTGATTTGAAAAAGAATGTTGGAAAGCATTGGGAGGGGTTACCTTGCTGAGCCCGAACTCATCCACTTCATCTAGAGGGATGCCATAGTTGCCGATCAGCGGGTATGTTAGGACTAAGATCTGTGATTTGTAGGACGGGTCAGTGAGAGCCTCGGGGTAGCCCACCATGCCGGTTTGGAACACTGCAAGAATGGAAGGGCTAGGGTTCAGCCAGGAACCTTCAGAACACCGCGCCACGCGATGAGAATACCCGGGCCATTGGAGGCTGCCATGAGTAAGAGCGGTAGAAAGGGTTGGGTAGGCTAGAGCACAAAACAAGGAGAGGGTGTGCAGGCGGGAAAATGGCGGGGTCTGAGCAGGGCCGAATGGGTGGAGAGGAGCATCAGAGTGGGATGAGGTCGACACCCTGCTCAGGTTTGCTTACCCACTTCCCCGGCAGTCGATACAGAGGCCCCAAAGGGCTGGCCCCCCAGGACCGACCCGTCCTCCAACACCAGGGCCGCCATGAGAACGGTGCTCAAAGGCAGTGGCGAGCACGTATATGCGATGGAGTTCTGCAAGACCCAGCCGGCTCTAGAACCACGTGAAGACAACGCGCGGGGAGCACGTCCACGTGGCTAACCGCGGAGGAGGCAAGAGCAAAAGCGGGCGTGGATCGCGCAGGAGGCAAACGCACTGGTGGTGGAGAGTCTGCGGCGGCGCGGGCAGCCAGCGGCGTGAGGGGCGGGGCTGGGTACGCACGGGGCGGGGCTGGGGCGGTGGCGCGGCAATATAGCCCTGGTTCTCTACCTTCTGCAAAGTCTGGAGAAACCCCCAAAACAGCAACCTCCCCAAGCAGCCTCCCCCATCCCAAACAAAGAACACACAGAGCAGGGCTGATATCCCTAAAAAAAGAAAAAAATTGTTTATTATTGTCAACACCAAAACACCAAAATGGGGACCGGTATTAGTCCACTACGCTTGGAGAAAAGTGTCCACAACACAAGAGCATTCGGCAATTTTCCATCTTCGTTTCAACGGCAGCCTCGGCCTTGATAGGACACAGCATTCCCAGGCTTGGCTAAGATAGATGTTCTTTAGATCACTAGGGTGACCATGCGGTTCATGAAGCCTTGGCTTTTCGGCGTTGGGTCCCCCACAACAGAATCGAGATGGAGAGTGTGGTTGATCCCAGAATTCCGAAGAACACAATTAGTGAGAATGAGCCCTGAGAATAACAGTCCAAGAAATCGCATTATTCGTACACTTAACGCTACACCTTAACACCAAGTTCTTTCCTAGTACACTAGTTCCCTCATTCCAACAATTCTCTTACAGCTTTGCTCCGTTAAGTAATTTGCATTCGCTTCCGATTTTTTTTTTTTCTTTTTAAGCTTCTAGTCTTGTGTTTCAGCTCTATACATTTCTCTTATTTCTAGAGTTAATTCCTCACCTGGCGCATACACTTGTAGCCATGGAAACCATCAGCACAAAGACACTGCCAGAAACCTGGACCATCGGGCGCACAAGATCCGTGCTCAGGACACATTTCTGGGAGTCAGAGAGAAACAAAGCATCATTGGATCACATCAGATAAATTTCTTAAATATCTATTTCAGTTTAGGTTCTTGCAATCCTTTGTGGGTCAATGGTAAAGCTAATTACAGAAAAACAGAAAAAACAATAATTTTCAAGAGATTTGTTGTTGTTGTTAAGTGAGACTCTGTATAGGGTATCCGAGGAGTGGCTGCTATGTTTGAACCATTGAACTGCAGTTCGAACCGACCCTGTGGTCCAGTGCATTATCCTGCAGCACCATGCCAGATTAGAGCCTTACAACTCTGTACAAAAGGCATCTAATCAATTTTACTGTATATATATACAGTAAATGGAGACTACAAGGGAGGAAAGACAGTTCACAAAAAGATAGAGCTGAGACAGACAGAATACCTGGGTCTCCAGTGTGATTGCAAAGGTTCCTTTGCCCTTGGCAGGTTTGCTTGTCTATAAACGTGGTAACAGTATTCCAGGCACTAATACCTCCAGGACAGTTGACATCTTGAGGCAGTACCCTGAAAGCAACAGAACTTGTCACAATATATTCAACTCAAAGTTGCTGAGCTCACAGCACTCCCTCTTTTACTTCTCCCTTAATTCCATACTCTTGACTTACAGAGTCTGGAGCTGAGTAAAGCCACGGAAGGTGTTAACCAAGTCATCCTTGAGGGGGTTTGCTTGCAAGTCTCTGCAAAGTACACGCTGTTAGTTTTCTGCTCAAGAAAGCACTGTATCTCCATTCATACTGGAGATCCATTCTAACTGCTCAGCCAGCCCTCACCAGTGTAAGTGTAGACATTAATATTCATTCATCTTTTTCAGAGTCTATCCCCAAAGACTTTTCCATTAACCCTTTGCCATATTTATTTTTTTGGGAGAGAGGGTATCTCATCACTTACATGATGATAGCAGTATGCGCCTGAGGAAAATGTGGACCAGGGTCCTTCAGAGAACAGTTTTGGAGATCCAGCCTGAGGAAACAAAGTAATCAATGTTACTATGTGTCTTTCTTCTTTATCCGTAACAAAGTTTGTATTTGGTACTGTGTGAGAGCCACACACGAGGTGCTCTGGTAGAATTCTAATCTTGCATTGTCCAAGATTAAAACATTATCATTAGGTGCTGCTGTCTGTTGAGTCCATTCTGACGTGTAACAATCCTTTTCTAGGGTTTCAGTAGCTATAAATCTTTATGGGGGGCAGAAAGCCTCATCTTTTCTCCCATGGAGCAGTTGGTTGGTTCAAACTGATGACCTTGTGGCTAGCAGCCCCCTGTGTAACCCAATATGGCACCAGGGATCTTTATCACTAGTTATATGTAACTATTTAAGTTAATTAAAATGAAATTAAATTTAAAATTCAGTGTCTCATTTGCAGCGGTCATATTTCAAGTGCTGGATAGACCATGACATGTTGGTTAGTGGTTATTAAATTGGAAAATACAGATATGAAATGTTTCTATCTTTGCAGAAAAGTTCTATTAGACATTACTGTTCTAATAAGTATTATGTCCTACAGTTCACATTTATACATACATTGGAGGGATTTGTTTCTTGTCTAGATTGTTGTTGTTGTTAAGTACTGTGGAGTCGATTCTGACTCATAGTGACCCTGCACAGGGTTTCCGAGGCTGTGAATCTTTACGGGAGCAGAAAGCCTCATCTTTCTCCCACGGAACAGCTGGTAGTTTCGAACTGCTGACCTTGAGATTAGCAGCCTGATTCGTAACCACTAGCTAGCTACCAGAGCTCCTTTTGTCTAGGTTAGTGGATCTCCTATTACAGTGTTATGATTCTTAGATACATAAAAGGCTTTCAAGTGGCAAACACAACAACAACACAGTGCAAGTTACATCAAGGAAAATTTCTTCCAAGTACATTTTCTATCACAGGCTGGATGTAAGCTCATGGACATTAAGGACCATGCCACAGTGATTTTTGTTTTTCAATATCCATCACTGTCTATTCCTTTATTCTATAAATATGTACTGTGTATCTACCATCTGTAGTGTATACACACACACACACACACACACATATGAGAAAAAAATCACAGTATTTTAACTTTCAGGTAGCTTACAATTTAGTAAGGGAATAAGAAAATCACCAAAAATAAAAATGTTAAATTATAATATGAAAGAAATAACACATCAGTATATAAATAAATTTGAGTGGTACAGACACTAAGGACTAGAGGAAGCCAAAGAAAATACTCTGGGATTTAGTAGTGTAAAACATTCACAAAAGATGCTGAAACGGAAGGATGGCTATGTTCTAATCTGGTGGAAGATGGCAATTCTAGGTAAGAAGAGAAGGTGTCCAGTACAACAAGAAACAAAGGTGAATGAATGCCTTTATGGGTAGATGAGTCTGGCTGGAGCCAGACCCTTATGGAAGATTGGATTGAACAAATAATTAGAAATAGAGTTGGAAAGGTGGATTGGGACTTGTTTGTGATAAAAGAATGACTAATTCATGGTTTGAACTGTATACTAAAGACAACAGATAGTTATAAATACAGTTTTAAAACCAGAGAATGATTTTTTTTTTTTAAAGGAAAATTGTGGGTTCGGGGAAGCTTGAAGCAAAGGTGAAGCATTCCAGAGGAAATGTTTAGTAGTAAGTTGGAAGTAGTCATATGTACCTAGTGCTTGGAGAGGTATCAAAGGATACTAAAAGAGATCTAGTTTGGGGAGACACCTACATGGTGGTCAAAGCTGAAGCCATAAGAACAGGTGTATTCTCAAAAGCGTATACAGGGAGAGCAGATGGCTAAGGAATGAATTTGAAAGGCTAACCAGCATAGCAGACAATGAGAGAAATCTGCCTCAAAGATGAATGTAAATTAATCAAAGGGAAGAAAACCACAGTATTTTGGAGATTAAGGGGAAAATTTCATGGAGACATAGTGAATAAGACAAAGACTTAATAAACAAAAGAACAAAGCTTTTTAAATAAAGCCATAACAGACCTTATTTTTTTTTAAAGAAAAGCAGGCCAAAATTACGATTTTTATGCAGCTTCAACTAGTAAGAATTACAGGATGCTTCCTGACCAAAAATGATATATAGATTTAAAAGTCTGAGAATGGATCATGGTTTGCAGTTGTTCAGTGCCATGAGTCAATTCTGACTCATAGATACCCTGTATAGGGTTTCCAAGGAGTGGCTAGTGGGTTTGAACCACCAACCTTGAGGTTAGCAGGCTAGTACTTATCCTACAGTACCACACTTAAATGCTGCCAAATCGCATCAATATATACACCCAAAGTCTATCAAGTAAGCTTTGTAGAATCTGTTCTGGTAACTTTTTTCTTTCAGTATCCAGGGATGTCTTCTCTTCTCTCACCCCAAGATGGTGCCCTTCTGATTCAGGCAGCAGCGGGCATGCAACATTAGCTTCGGCGTCTGCTTACAAAAAAGAGCCACTTCCGACAAATTCTGCACATTTCCTGAACACTGGAAGCATATCTGCATTAGAGAAAAATCTATTAGGATCTTATAAAGAAAAGAGCAAACGAGGATCAAGAGTCAACAGCCAGTACACCCCGCCAGGATTCCTGTAACGAAGAGCAGGGAGTTGACAGTCCCAGCAGGTTAGACTATGGGCTACATTTCTTTCCCTACGGCCGAACCAAACACAGAAGCGATGCTCTCTGGTCCACAGAAGACCCTCATCTTTGAAGATCACTTTTGGAACAAATTTATGATGCTCTTTTCAGTGACTTCGCAATCTAACAATTCCGGTTTGGTCGGGTATAAATTGGTAAGGGACACAAAGAACTCGTCGAGCATTAGAGAAAGTACAGTCCTGCCGTCGCACGAGTTCACGGCATTCGTGCGTGGACAGTTTACAGAGAAGCCAGGAGACTAATCTGTTGACAGAACAACGTCAAACTGTTCAAAGATTAAGCAGTGAGGAGCTCAGATTTTCAACGGTCTCTTAAGGTAGGCAAGGTGGGATCGCTAGGAAGCCTGCACAGCGGGAGAACTCGAGAGTGGGACCCCGTTGGACAAAAGCCTGGGTAGAGAGGAGGCCCTGGGGACGAATCCGAGCTGCGGGCCGGCTGGGGGCGCAGTCTCTGTGAGCACGAGACAGCGGCTTGCCGGCAACTCTGATTCTGCGTGACTTCTAACTTGCTTCTGTACCTCGGGTAGCGCCAGAGCCCCTTCCACGCCCAGAGCGAGGAGTAGGGCGGCAACACAGAGCACTAGGCTCCACGGACTGCTGGGCCAGGGATGCGCCATTTTCCGCTGTCTTCGTTCTTCTCAGCCCCTCACGGAACCTGTGTGCGGTGGCTCCGCCCTCGGGGCGTGACCGAATCAGCCCTGGGCGGGTGGAGGGGCTCCCACTGCAGGTCTAGGTCTGCGCTTTTCTCTGCGTGTTCCTAGTTCTTGGTCTGGGAAAGACTGGTCGGCCCTTTCTCTGTTTCTCCATTAGCCAGACCTCCATCCCTTTCCACTACCCCTACTATTCGTCACTTGGCTCCTATGAGTCAACAGCAGCCTCCCCTCAGCTCTGTGTTGCCCGTTCCTGAACGCTGAGGTCACGTCTCAGTAGACTGAGGCCACTCCATCCGCCCTCAGTAAACATGGCGACTGGGGCAGACAGTGGGCGGGATCCGGTGTCACCGGGTTCCCGTGTTGCCGGTCTGGCTCTCCGGTGGGTGCCAGACCCACGTGTGGAGAGTCGGCAGGTGGGCTGCACACAGGAGGGTTGGCACATAGACCTTCCGGAGAAGGGCTGCGGGGCAGGTGTCGGGCCGCGGGAAATAAGGGGTGGGAGAAGCGGAGCGACCAGACCTCGGTGTGAGGGTGTGGGAAGTTCTGAGGAACCAGCAAAAGGTGGTCATCTCGGCACCTCGTGGTTGGAGGGAAGGCAGGAAAGAGAGTAAGGATGATGAGGAACGAAGGGAAAATCCAGGCCCAAAGAGACGAGCCTGAGGACGCTCCGGGCACCCAGTTCCCTTCACCTCAGTCCAGAGTCCGCGCGGCGTCCCACAGCCCAGGCAGGGAGGTGGTTGGTTATGTGCCGTGGAGTCGGTTCCGACTCATAGCGACCTTGCATAGGGTTTCCGAGGCTGTAAACCTTTACGGGAGCAGAACGCTTCATCTTTCTGTTCGTAGTTTCGAACTTCTGACTGAGATTAGCAGCCGTACTCGTAAGCACTATGCTACCAGAGCTCCTAGGCGGGGAGGGTCGGGGCAGAATAGGTGCTTGCTTCCCTCACACCTGGCCTGTCTTTGCCTTCCCAGAGGACGATCCATGCTGTGATCCCAGTAAGACTGAAAGGACTTTCTTAGCCCTGGTTGAGCCTTGGAGGTAAGAGGGAGGGGGCGTTGTCCTAGGATTTTCGGGGTTACCCCTCTCCTGGGGGCACCACGAGGTGGTACCTAAGGCGCATCTTCCTTCAGTATCTTTGGCTCCTTCCAGGTGCCTCCAGGCATCTGCCATCTCCCTCCGCACAGACTATATCTAAGGCATTAATAGTCCCCGTGTGGCGCTGTAGGATCAGCACTGAACTGCAAGCCGTTAAGGTCGGTGGTTCAAATCCACCAGCTGGCCCTCAGAAACTCTAGGTAGGGTCACTCTGACTCAGCGGCACTCAAAGACAACAGTAGCTTATTAGTTACTTTGAATGAAGGCCCCCTCCCCTCACACAGACACACAGCCTTTCAGAACCTGTGGACTGCTGGGCACAAAGACATTTTTAGAAGAAAACTTTTGGGGTTGGTTGGTCCAGCCTTGACTTCTTTGCCTTTGGTAGGAGTCCCAGCCATCTGGGCAGAGTGTGACCAAGGTTACTGGAGGGGGTTGGAGATCACCTTGGGGGGGATCACCTTGGTCACACTAGGTGTCACACTAGAATCTCCAGGAGCAGAGATTCTCTTCTGTGAGTGGGGTGGGGGGGGAGTGTTTTTAAAGGAGCCCCTCGTCCCACACTCCCCCCAGCACCCTCCCAGTCTGGTGTTTGTGCCCAGGAGTTTTGTGGTTTTAGTTTAACAACTCAGCTCTTACTTGGGCTTCCATTCTTTAAGCAAGGTTATGGGGGTTTGGGTTAGTTTTTAGAAAGCCACTCCCTTGTTCTAGGAATCACTGGTAATAAGGGCTTTGTTACTGGCTCAGGTGTTTCCTGGTTTTCCTGGCTCTCTCTTTGACTCCTGGTGTGGTGCTGTAAGATAAGCACTAGAGTGCTAACTGCAAGGTCAGTGGTTCAAATCCACTAGTGGCTTCTCAGAAACTGTTCAGGGTTGCTGCGAGTTGACCCAACTCCTTGGCACTTCACAACACTGTCTTTAGCCACTCAGAAGGCTTCTCACATGTCATGTAAATAAAGGACTCCCCACCAGTCTGCTTCCCGTAAAGAAGGTCTGGGAGTCCTGGTGTGGCTCTGTGGGCTAATGCACTGGACTGCAAAGTCAGTTTAAACTGCAAGGTTGGCAGTTCAAGCTCACTAGCCTCTCCTTGAGAACCCTCTACAGGGTCGCTATGGGTCAGAACTGACTGGACGGCACACAACAACATAGAGGGTCTACATTTCTGGGCATTGTGTACCCTCAGTCTGTGTTGGGACCTTTCTTCTTTTTACTAACCATTTGCCCAGCCATGAAGAACCTTGGTGTTGTTGTAGCATAAGCGCTGGACTGCTAACATCAGGTAGGCAGTTCAAACCCACCAGCTGTTTGGGGAGAGAGAAAGGGGAAGTTTTCTGTTACCATAAAGATTTAAGGCCTGGGGAACCCTATACAGGGTTGCTATGAGTTGGAATCAATTAGATGGCAGTGGGTTCATACCACTAACCCTTGTATGCACAGCAGACATAACCTCTCCTTTTATGCTCTGGTAGTCCTCACCCCTCACCTCTATCATACTATGAAGTGCCATTGAGTCAGTTCCAATTCATAGCGACCCTGTATACAGTGAGTAGCTGGAGAGTTTGAACCACTGACCCTGAGATGAAAACTGACCTTAAGAATGAGTGCTTATCCTACTGTGTCATACCAGGACACCATATTACCTCTATCATAGCAGTAAATATTTGCCACAGAGGAATGAGAAAACTAAGGATGTTGTATGGTTCAAAAGCCAAGGATGTCTTTATATTAAACCGCAATGACCTTTTGGGAGCATTGTTCTGGGGCACAGGCATCAGTCACTCTGCAGAACATGTGATCCCAAGAATTGCCAGCTCTCATTTCCTCTATTCATGGGCCTTAAAGAGGTTCAGAGTTCAGACTTGGTCTGTGAGACTCTGTCTTGCTAGCTAGACAATATCTAGCCAAGGACAGAGTGTGGGAGAGGTGAAAGAGCCAGGTTGATCTTTCGCTTCATGGGCAAGAGCACAAGTAGTCTCTAGATTCGTTGAAATCTAAACTCTGTTCTATGAATGACTGACTACATTACTCAAGATTAACATACTGCTGCCACCCCACTCTGGGAGTGATGAGAACAGCGAACAGCATCTCTGGTAGGTGCAGATAATACTCTTTCTTTCCCTCTTGTTTTGCTCATACTATATAATCTTGGTCAAATTATTTGACCTGGTAAACCTCAGTTTCCTTATGACACTGTGTTTGTGGATAGTGCTTGATAGGGTTTTAGAATGCTAGCTATCATTGTTACTAAGTGCCGCCAAATTGGTTCTGCCTCATAGTGACCTGGTATAGAATTTCTAAGGAGCGGCTGGTGGGTTTGAAATGCTAACATTGCCATTAGCAGGCCAGTGCTTAGCCTATAGTGCCACACCAAGACTCCTCTAGCTATCTTTGTTAGATGTTAGATGCTCACAGTGACCCTATGTACAACAAAACGAAACACCAACTAGTCCTGTGTCATCCTCACAATTGCTGATACACTTGAGCCCATTGTTACTGCCACTATGCTAATCTATCTTGTTGGGGGTCTTCCTCGTTTTTGCTGTCCTTCTACTTTACCAACCATGATGTCCTTCTCCAGTGACTGACTGGTCCCTCCTAATAATATGTCCGAAATACGAGAGACGAAGTGTGGCCATCTTGGCTTCTAAGGAGCAGTCTGGTTGTACTTCTTTGAACACAGATTTGTTTGTTCTTCTGGCAGCCCATGGCACCTTTAATATTCTTCTCCACTACCATGAGTCAAATGCATCAGTTCTACTGTCTTCCTTAATCACTGTCCAACTTTCACTTACATATGAGGCGATTGAAGATACCATGGCTTGGTATCATTACTTCATTATTTTTATTATTAATACTTGTAAAACGCTTAGCATATTGCTGGATTACTTAACAGGTGTTCTAAATGTTAGCTGTTATTATATTAGACTGTCTAAATAACTGTGTGGAATAACTATGAATAGCATTGTGAAGTATGTGAATTGCAGAACACTTGATTGTGCTTGTGTAGAACCTATATATAGACCAAGAAGTAGTCATTCAAACATAAGAGGATACTGAGTGACTTGAAATCAGTAAACATATCATTTCACCTTATTCAGTCTGTGTACTGAGCAAATAATCCAAGAAGCTGGACTAGATGAAGAAGAACATGGCATCAAGATGGGAGGATGGCTCATTAACAACCTGCGATATGCAGATGACACACTTTGCTTGCTGAAAATGAAGGGGATTTAAGTATTTACTGATGAAGATCAAAGACTACAGCCTTCAGTATGCATTGTATTTTAACATAAGGAAAACAAAAGTCCTCACAACTGGACCAATAAGTAACATCCTGATAAATGGAGAAAAGGCTGAAGCTTTCATTTCAAGAATTTCATTGTACTTGGTTCTGCAGTCTGAACCCATTGGAGCAATAGTCATGAAATCTAATGACATACTGCATTGGAAAATTTGCAGTGTAAGACCTGTAAAGTTGCAGGGTAGCTAATTGTTTATTCTGGCCCTTTTTGCATTTTGTGAGATATTGTAAATTCAAGCTTTTATGCCTGTGATTATGGAGCCATTTTGAAATGAGTTGCTAAGGAGTAAAGATTGAGGTGGGGCTAAGAATAAATATTAGGAGCTCTAGTAGCATAGTGGTTACGAATCCGGCTGTGAATCTCAAGGTCAGCAGTTCGAAACTACCAGCTGTTCCGTGGGAGAAAGATGAGGCTCTCTGCTCTCGTAAAGATTTATAGACTCGGAAACCTTGTATGGGGTCACTGTGAGTAGGTTCGGATTCCATGGCACATAGCCACCACCAAGAATAAAGATTATAGTGGATCTAAGTATTGAGAATCCCCTACCTTAGTAGAGGGTGTGACTGAAGTCACCCCCCTTAGTTTCTCTGTGGGCATCCATGGTCTGACTGTTATTTTATAAGTTGTTGTTATACCTTATATAGGGTTTCTGAGCAGTCAGTGAGTTTGAGCCTCTGATTATGTGGTTCGAACTGACCTTGCATTTCAGTGCATTTTCCTCCTCAGAACCCTTATTGTTGTTATTGTTTTTAAGTGCCCTCGAGTCCCTTCCAGCTCAGCAACCCTGTATAGGGTTTCCAAGGAACAGCTGATTTGTTGGAACCACTGACCTTGTAGTTCAAACTGACCTTGAAGTGTCATACTTACCCTACAGCACCACACTAGGACTTCTATACTGGGTCACTATGAGTTAGAACTTACTCGACAGCACTTAACAACAATAAAGCTTAACAACAATAAAGATTAATCTTGGGGGATATGGGGATGAAATGGTTGATGGAACTACAGTGAAAGTTCAGATGAGATTTGGAAGATTTAAACATGGATGCTCCCAAGTGAAACTAAGGGTGGTGACTTGGGTCACACCCTTGACTAAGGTGGGGCATTCTCAGTAAGGTAGGTCTTGTGTGAAGTAGTTGCATCTTCCTTACTTGAATGTATTATTGGTATTGGTATTATGTCTAATTGGATATTATTCTAACTCCTTCTACCTGATACTGTAACACGGAAGGAGTGTAAGTCTGCCCCTAGGCCAGTATGGATTGGACACGCTAGATGGGAGCGTTAGAATCCTAGCCTTTTTGCCTATGATTATGCACCCATATTGAAAAGAGTTTCTGAGGAGTTCAGATTAAGATTGGCTAAGGAATTGAATCCTAGTGTGGTGCTGTAGGATAAGCACTTCACCTCTAGGTCTATTTGAACTGTCACTATGAATTGAAACCTACTTGACAACATTTAACAACAACCAATAAGTACCACTGGGTATTGCCTCTGAAGACAATATAGTATAAATGGAAAACAGGGTGGATAAGGAAACATTAGAGTCTGATTTGGTCTCTGACAATAATTGCCAATGTTTTTAGGAAAGTCACTTGAATTGTCTGTGACTCGGTTTCTTTCTCTGTGAAATGATGGTGTTATAATATTGATCACTGAGGAATTCTTTAAATCTTAAAATACAGTAACTCTGTCCTTGTTTTTCTAAGCATATTGCGGTGTGTTCTTTGAGCTAGAGTCAGAAAGCAACTTTCCTGCTTTCTCTCAGCTCCTTCTTTTCCAACTTCAGCACACAGACAGCCAAGTGTGACTTACAGCAAAAGCTTAATCCTTTTAGGAATGCTGCTGAATGCAGGTTTAGTGCTCCCCATTCTCCAGCCTCTAGGGCTGAACTGGAGTCGGACCCAAGGGACCCAGCTCCCATGATAGGGCCATTTGGATCATAGGGATTGGTTTCCTGAAGGGACCAATACAGGAGCTGCCAATTCTCAATCTCACCTCAGCTACTTATAAAGCCAGACCCTCTGCCTCTGCCCAGCTTCAGACAGAGCTCTTCCAGGCAGCTCTGCTTCAGAACAGGGATGGCTTCTCAGGTAGGTGTTTGCCCATGGCAGGATAGGATCACTCCTCCTGGCTGTTTTCCTTCTCACCAAGGTGACCTTTTAATCCTAACCCTGAACCCCTGGCTCCAACAGGTTACCCTGTTTACTCCTCTCTTACCCTTCCCCCCTAGTGGCACAGTGGCTTAAGCAATGGGCTGCTAACTGAAAGGTCAGCAGCCAATCCATAGGAGATGAATGAGACTTTCTGCCTCCGTAACGATTTACAGTCTCAGAAACCCTCGGGAGCAGTTCTCCTCTGTCCTGTGGGTTGCTGTGAGTGGCTGACTTGATGACACTGGGCTTACTGTTCCAGGAATGCCAATGACTTTGGTGTACCAGGTAGAGGGGCTGAGAGCTGGGTAGCAGGGCTTACTAATGATGGTGAGGAAGATGAGGAGGAACACTGAGAGGTTGACCCGAGGATGCCTGGAGTGACATTTTGGGGTTGTCATAAAGACATCCTAGTGGTGCTCAGGGCTGAGAAGGGGTGTTGTTAGGAAGAGTGATACAGAATAATGGGAGGTGGGGGCTGAGGTCAGGGACATGGTGGATTCCATGATGTTAGTCTCCGTTTATTTTCCCTGCTGGGCTATGGCGCCAGACTGGGCTCTTGGCTTAGTGAATTGTAGTAACTGGATCAGTGCCTGCAAGTGGGGGCAGGGAATTCTTGTTCTGAGAGGAAACTTGACACAGGGTTGATTCCTGCCACACACACACACACACACACACCCAATTGTGGTAGAGACACCCAAGGTTTTGGCTGTTATTGTCTCCTTACTGTCTTACTGTTCTTCACCTTCACTGTCCTCTTCTATTACACAAACCAGAACTTCTAGATTTGCAAAGGCTACTACCAAGTTGGCTAAGTCAAGTCTGATGGGTGTGGGGTATAAGGTCCAAGGGTGGGTGGCTATGAAGGTAAGACATGTCTGACTAGGAGCTGATTCCTTTGCAGCTCACCATGGATGATGCCATTTGGTAGATGGAAGACTGTGAAACTGACTCAGTACGAAATTATTGCCACTGCCTGACACTGCCTGGCCAAGTGGTAGCCAAAAACCTATAGCAGTAAGCGACTACAGGTCAAGGACACAGTGTGGATATGACTGTGGCGACGATCACCTCTGCTCCCTCCCTCCCAACCTCGAACACAGATGTGGTCACATCCACCTTCTCCTTTGTGGACTATGTGGTGTTTGTCCTGCTGCTGGTTCTGTCCCTTGCCATTGGGCTTTATCACGCCTGTCGAGGCTGGGGCCAGCATACCATTGGCCAGCTGCTGCTGGCGGACCGCAAGATGGGCTGCTTTCCTGTGGCATTGTCCCTGCTGGCCACCTTCCAGTCAGCTGTGGCTCTCCTGGGTGTACCATCTGAAATCTATCGATTTGGCACCCAATATTGGTTCCTGGGCTGCTCCTATTTTCTGGGGCTCCTGATCCCTGCCCATATCTTCATCCCTGTCTTCTACCGTCTGCATCTTACCAGTGCTTATGAGGTGAGTGGGGAGGAAGGTGAAGCAAGTGGGGTTACCAGGGTTCGGGATGGAGAATAGGAACAGGGTGCGTGTGATGAATCTGGAACCTCAATCTCAGTAAACGCACACACTGTGTTTATAGATTCTCACTGGGTAGGGTGAGGGTGGAGATGCTATCCTGAAGGGGGCCTAGAGTGGACAGAATCTGACATTACTTCATGGTCCTCTTCATAGAAATTATGTGCAAATTGTGGGTATTGTTCAGGGAGAAATAATTTTTTTTCATATGCATTCTTGCCTAGTACCTGGAGCTCCGATTCAATAAAGCAGTGCGGGTTTGTGGAACCTTGACCTTCATCTTTCAGATGGTAAGTGGAAGGAGGATAAAATTTGAGCCAGAGACACAGTGGAGGGACTTGGGCTCAGGCATTGCTGTGCAGATAGGATCATTTCTGTTTTCAGACTTGGGGTCAGTGTCTAAAGTTCCTGTTGCCCAGGGTCTCCCATCCTAGCACTGATACCATGGTGAAGGCAAGCCTAAATTAGGGAGTAGTTGTGAGGGGAAGCCATTGTGATGTTGGAGCTGGATGGTGGCCCATCTTTTCTCTCTTCCTACTCTAACCCCAACTCCCCATCACATTTTCCTTTGCACTAAACAGGTGATCTACATGGGGGTTGTGCTGTATGCACCATCATTGGCCCTCAATGCAGGTAAGGAGTCACCACCCTGACTTCCAGTCATGTTAGACTGGGAAAACTCCTTCGGAAGGGACAATTGGAGGAAATTGACAGGAAAGTTATACTGCAGGGACCAATGGACTGGTCCCTGCCAGAAGAGGAAGCCGTCTTAGCTTACTACACTAGAAAACTAATAAAATATCACTTTACCTTATTTGCATTGGTTAATCACCACCTTCTAGTGTAGTCTACAGACCTTTTTTCCCTTGTGGTAAATGATTGATTTCATCTTTAATGAGCAATGGCTGTCTTTATCAGAGCTTTGCTGCCTTCTCCACTGGGACACTTCCAGAGATCTGAGTGTGACTTTTATTTACTTACAGTGACTGGCTTTGATCTATGGCTGTCAGTGCTGACCCTAGGCCTGGTCTGTGCTGTCTATACTGCTCTGGTAAGTGTAGGCCTCCTGGGGAATGGAGGAGAGGAGATCAAATGAGATGGGAGGAAAAGGAAGGGGAGGGGATGAGAGAAGCAGGAAGGTGAGAAGATGGGATGGAATTCTAAGGCTGGGATGAAATGAGATTAGGAGAAGGGATGGAATGATAGGAGGGAGGTTTCAAAACTTGTGTGGAAAATTGAAATGAAAAGATAATGTAAAGTTTCCGTGAAGTTTTTGAAGACATCTATGTGTACTAGGAGCTAGTGTAGCATAGAGAGGTAATCGGGGTTACGAGACATTATATTTGGAAAGGTAGGAATGGTTTGACCAGGGGTCAGCAATTACACCATCAGAAGGCATCATAGTGTCCTAACTTGAGAATGGTTTTGAAGACATCTGGTACCTGTGCTGTTTTTCCCTGCAGGGTGGGCTGAAGGCTGTCATCTGGACAGATGTGTTCCAGACGCTGGTCATGTTCCTAGGGCAGCTGGCAGTTATCATCGTGGGCGCTGCTAAAGTGGGCGGCTTAGCACGTGTGTGGGAGGTGGCTTCCCAACATGGCTACATCTCTGGGATTGAGTAAGTAACCCCCGTCCTTGTGGGGTCAGCAGTGCCTGGAAACTGAGCCATCCATAGCAGAGGGCAAGCTATGGGGGCAGAAAACTGGGGCGTTTGTGTGTGTGTGTATGTGTTAGAGTGAGAGATCCCAGGTGTCTGGCTGGTGTTTAGGAGAGGACAGGGCAGGTTGCACCTATGGGCTGAAGAAATAGAACTGTTGCCTCCTGCTTGCTGCACTGACTCTGGATTCCCCAGCTCTGGAACCTCCCACCAGCAGTTCTTTTGACCCTAGTCCCATGTCTCTGCTCATCTCTGCTCTGCCCCTGTCACTGGGAGGACAGGGAGAGTTCGGTCTGCATCTGAAACCATGGCACAGTGTCTGGGTGGCATCTCTTGCAGGCTGGATCCAGACCCTTTTGTAAGGCACACTTTCTGGACCTTGGCCTTCGGGGGTGTCTTCATGATGCTCTCCTTATACGGGGTGAACCAGGCCCAGGTGCAGCGCTACCTCAGCGCCCGCACCGAGAAAGCTGCTGTGCTGTAAGTATGGGGACAGGATGGCTCCTTGAGGTGGTTGGAGTGGGTCACATGTGGGTCCCCTTTCTGGAAGTGTGGAGGGTACCTGCTCTCTCAGCACTGGCCTCTCCTTGCAGCTCCTGCTATGCCGTGTTCCCCTGCCAGCAGGTGGCCCTCTGCATGGGCTGCCTCATTGGCCTGGTCATGTTCGTCTATTACAAGGAGAATCCCATGAGCAGCCAGCAGATACAAGCAGCCCCTGATCAGGTGAGAAGGTCTTCCAGGTCCCCTCCTATGCCCATGAAGGGGGCAGTCTGGGTCCCAGAGGGAGTGTGTAGGTGGCTCCAGAAAGGAATCCTGCCCAGGTGAGAGATGGGTCTACAGTCCTTTCCCATCCTGAGTTCTAGATGACGATCCCAGCCCCAGCATCACCTAATCATAATGCTCACCCTCCTGGGGTTGGGGACCTACCTTTACTGACTGTCCCCTATGACCCAACTCTGTAGGGAGCTCTCACACAGCTGTTTCTTCTAGCCTCCCAACAGCTGAGGAGAAAGGAGACTCAGTGAGCTGTTCTTGTATTTGGGCTAAGCTGGGATATAGATGTGAAGGGAACGGCCCTATTGTCTTCCTGAACCCCTCTTCTTTTCATGGGTCACTTGAGTCAGCATGATCTCCGTAGAGTCTTGCCCTGGGATGGAACCTCCCTAAGGAGACTTGTGTACCTCTGTTCTGCTTGTAGTTCGTCCTGTACTTTGTGATGGATCTCCTGAAGGACCTGCCGGGCCTGCCTGGGCTCTTTGTTGCCTGCCTCTTCAGCGGCTCCCTCAGGTACCCCTTCTACCACCTCTCTCAGGCTTGTGGAACTGACCCTTGCTTGGTACAAGGTGACAGATTAGGGAGGGGACCCCTGAATATCTCATTGTGCCCATTCCCTTTTTGGTTAGCCAGAACTGATAGACTTAATTAAATTCTGAACCCAGAATTATGTACTTAAATTCTATCGCCACAGGCAGAGAAGGACAAGTGGATTTGCCCTTCAGGCCTCCCCTGAGATAGCCTGAGGATGGCTTTTGTTGCTGCATATGTCAGATCCATCACCCTCACCTGCAGGGTGCTAATCCCTCAAAAGAAGGGACTAGTTCCTTTCTAGCCTTCCTTTCTCAGCTGCCTGTCAGGGCAGCTTGTCATTGTGCATCTTCTTTTCCAGCACCATATCTTCAGCTTTTAATTCCTTGGCAACTGTTACAATGGAAGATCTGATTCGACCCTGGTTCCCTGGGTTCTCTGAAGTCCAAGCTACCAGGCTTTCCAAAATCATCGGTAAGCTTATGCTTCCTCATTTCCTCTGTCTTGTTCTTCCTAAGATACTTTGGTTACCATAACTACTGACTTGAGTCTGCTTTAAAGCCCCTGCTTTATACTGAGCTCAGCACTTGACTGATGAAGCACACAGTCTTCACCCCATGGTCATTTACATCTCAGAGCATTTACTAAAGTTATCTGAGGTGACTTAGTGAGGACAGGGTGGGCGTGGCCTGGGTCTGGGCTATGAGGTGATATGTCTGCCCTCTGCTTCCAGGGGCACTGCAGTGGTGGTTGATGGGAGGAGTGTTGCTCTATATTTTCCCCCCCCCTTTTTTTTTATTGTGTGAATTCACACCTGCTTATGGGCTTCCTTATCTCTTCCCCTCAGCATTTGGTTATGGACTGCTTTGTCTGGGAATGGCCTATGTTTCCTCCCAGATGGGACCTGTGCTTCAGGTAATGACTCTGGAGTGAAGAGACGTTTAGGGGAAAGAAGTGCACTAAAATAGTCAATTGAGGAAGACACTGTTTTGAGGGGAACTGTATGGGGAATAGGTGTCAGAAATTCTCCTTTAATGGACCACCTTTAGCTGGAGAACAGATGCTTAAGTAGCCAAAAAAAAAAAACAACCCCTGTGTCATTGTTGACATTGTCAGTTCAACGATCTAAGATGAGAACCATCCCTGTAACCCTTGTTACCTTCTGGAATGAGGAGCTCTGGTACCGTAGTGGTTACGAATCGGGCTGCTATTTTCATGGTCAGCAGTTTGAAACTGCCGGTGGTTCTGCAGGAGAAAAATGAGGCTTTTTGCTCCCATAAAGATGAACAGCCTCAGAAACCCTATGCAGGGTCACTATGAGTTGGAACCGACTCCATAGCACATAACCACCACCACCCTTTGGAATGGACTCTTGGTGTGACACTGTAGGATAAACACTGGACTGCTAGCCTCAAGGACAGTGGTTCAAACCTACCAGCTGCTCCTTAGAAATCCAATACAGGGTCTCTATGAGTTGGAATAGACTCCACAGGCAATTAACAATAACCCTCTGGAATCCTCAGTTCCAGTTGCTCCAGGTGGAAGAACAAAGAGCTGACCAGCAGGGCTCTGTTGCAGTGGCAGGTGGCTGTGTTCTCTGTCATGGGCTGGGGGTCTCTGAACCTGTATGTTCTCCACAGGCAGCAATCAGCATCTTTGGCATGGTTGGCGGGCCGCTGCTTGGACTCTTCTGCCTTGGGATGTTCTTTCCTTGTGCCAACCCCGCTGTGAGTGGCCCATCTGGCTAAATGGTCTTATGGCTAGGGGATGGCTTGGCAGAGCTCTTACCCTGAGTGCCAGGACCTGGTGTGAAGGTTCGATGGTGGGGAGGTGGGAACAGTTGAGGTTTGCAGTGTGTCCTGTCTCTGTGCAGGGAGCCATAGTGGGCCTGTTGTCTGGACTCATCATGGCCTTCTGGATTGGCATTGGGAGCCTAGTGACCAACATAAGCTCTGGTGTGGCATCCTCTCCCCCTAACGTGTCCAGCTTCTCCCTGCCCAGCAATCTGACTGCGGTCACCATGACCACACTGATGCCCTTGACCACCCTCTCCACGTAAGTAGGCTCACTTTCATAGGAAGAATGTCATTTCTGAGGGATTGTCCAGGGGTCTGGTCATGGCCTGGGCCACCAGAGGCCTCAGGAAGTGTTGGATGTTGGGTCCCTGTCGATGGGTGGAGCTGGGTGCCTGAGGAATGCCAGTCCTGAACTGCTAATTGTCATCACCCTTGTGTTTCCCCAGGCCCACAGGGCTGCAGCGGTTCTATTCCCTGTCCTACTTGTGGTACAGCGCCCACAACTCCACCACAGTCATCGTGGTGGGCCTGGCTGTCAGTCTGCTCACTGGTGAGGAGTGTGGCATGGGGACAGAAGATACAACAAGGGGCTGAGGGAGTGCTCGGGGAAACCTGGTGTCTGGGGGAGATGTTGCCTTTGTAGCTCTTGCGTATCTCTAACAGTGAAGATGGTTGGCTGAGATCCAGGAGGTGGTCTAGGGGCGTGAGAACTGTGCATCCTGGAGGACAGGGGCCTTGCTGGGTATGGACAGTCCAGTAGGAGACTGTGAAGCACCTTTGCTTTTAGGGGGCATGCGGGGCCGCACACTGAACCCTCGGACCATTTACCCCGTGGTGCCAAAGCTCCTTGCTCTCCTGCCTTCATGCTGCCAGAACCGACTGCCCTGCAGAAGCTATAGCCAGGTAGTGCCTTTCCCATCCCTACTCCCTAGCACCCCTCCCTCCACTTCTCTAAGTGTGTGCAGTGCTGCTCCCTCCATCCCAGTCTTTCTCTCCCTGGCCTTGTGTTTGTTCCTCCCTTTCTGTCCGTGCCCCTGCTCACCCACCTCCCTCTGGCTTTGCTGATTTCTCATCTAGTAGGGATCCCTGCAGACTTCCCTCCTTTTCTGCATTAGGTCCTTCCCCACCCCCTTTGCTTCATGTACTCACCCCTTCCCACCCACTGCTCTTTCTGTGTGTTCCCCAGGACCTACCCATGGACACCACTGTGCTTCCAGAGAAGATGGATAATGGTATACTGTGGGACAGCAGAGACAAGCAGGTCCAGGAAGGCTCAGTCCACCAAGGCAACAGCCCCACCTTTGTCCTCCAAGAGACCTCACTGTGATCTGGACTCAGGACCCTCGCCTCCTCCACACTCTGCCAGACAACAGCCAGTGACTGCTCCACAGTACAGGGATGATCACCTTGACATGTTCTTCGGGATGGTTAAGGACTTGGATTACCTAGCTCACACCAAAGGCTTTTGTTCTTAGAGGCTCTAGCCTGCAGCAGACAATGTCCCCTAATGAGGATGTGAGGATAGGGCAAAGGTTTTATTTTCCCCTCACCATTGTGTATTCTAGAGAACTAGGTTTTTAGGTAGCAAGATTATGCCAGAAAAGGGGATGTAGAAGGTAATCCTTTATGAAGACAACATCTTCTGATTCAATATGGCCAAACTCTGCTGAAGTCAATAGAAACTGCATTTCTGGTTTTAATTGCCCAAATTTGGCAAGATTGATGACTTAGCCTAAAACTATCACCTGCCTTGGCCAGCCAGTTATTGCTTCCTTTGCAGCCCTATCTAAGCACAGATTCCATCAGCCACAAGGGGTTAGCCTGTGATTAGTCTCAGGTTTTCTTTGACACCCTAGTCCCTCATCCTTCTCTGCCTACCTCCATTCTTGAGAAGACAGACTTTGGTGCCCCTGGAAGCCTATCAGAACAGACAGGATCCAAGGAAACTCACAGCATTATCAGCCCACTGGAACACTATCCTGACTTCTGAGCCATGCCACCTAATGTCATTTGTCATCCATGCTTCTGTTTCCTTTTGGAGTTTTTTCTTCTCCTCTCTTTGTTCCTAGGAAATAAAAACTGCCATTGGACTTGTAATCTGGCCTCCTATACTGTCTCCAATTGCTCTTGTCCACCAGTGCCTATTAAAGGATAAAGTTCTTTCTCTTAGCAAATTGGTGCTCTTCCTCTGCTGAGGAGGGACCAGACTGGTTTATTGTGGTTTTTAGTCTGAGACATGGCATTTCTTTCAGGGCAGAATTGTGTTCACCAAGATGAAAGATGCACATACTTCCTCTGATTCTTCAATCTTCTATAGCTCGTTTGGTCCCATCAAGCCTCTTATGTCCTTGCCAAGAGTTTCTCTATTGTTCTGAGATGTTTAGTTTTGAAATTGGAGGGAGAATGCTGCTATTAAGACATTTTTTTTTTTTTCCAGGACTGGGTAGTGTTTTTTTGTTTTTGTTTTTGTTTTAAGGTTTTTATTATGGATTGAGTGACAGTTTACAGGGCATATCATCAGTTTTACATTCAACAAATCATATACCTTGTTTCATTGCATTGATTACAATCCCCTCCATGTACCATAAGTTAACAGTATTTTTCTCTATCCACTTTAGCTTTTTAAAAAA